TGTTTGTTTCATTATATTCTTTATTTCATTTCTTTATTTGTCATATTCTCATTCTTCTTTATTTATTTTTATTTCTTATTTTCAATTTCTTTGTTTTTATTAAATTAAAAATTGATGAATTTAACTTATTTGATTTTTCTATTAATTCAAACAAATTTATTTCAAATAATCAAATATTGAATTAATATTATCATTTCATCAATTATACCATAACACAACCGTATGGTTGATATATATTACGTTTGTTTTCTGTTATAGTTTTAGTACTAAATAAATACCATTCACCTTCTATTTCTTCTCCATCATTTGTTACTTTAATACATCTTCTGTATGTCTTTTTTTCATATGTTATATCAGATTCTGTTTCTTTTATTATTTTACCTTTTTCTTCTTTTTCTTCATATCTAATTTCTTTGTATTCACTGAATGATTTCTTAATTTCTTTTTCATCAATTAATTCTAATTCTTTTGCCCATTCAATTAATCTTTCTATTTCTTTCTCTGATCTTTTATTATCATAATCTTCATCTGGTTGTGAATCTACATAATACATTGGTATATCAAATTCTTCATTTGTTTTATTTATTTGTTTTATAAATGAAATTATGTTTTCTTTGAATTGTTCTTTCTCTTTTTTACCTTCGTCAATTTTCTTTGGTGGAATATAATTATAACATCTAGTCCAAACAATACAAACATGTTTCCAAATGTCTTTTATTTTGAAAACATCATTTATAGTTTCAATAACTTGTTTAATATTATCAGTAAATTTACACGTATAAAAATCCATTGTTAATATAATTCCTTGTAATCCTTCAACTCTAACACAATTAACAATATTCTGAATATGTTTATTATCAAAATTATTAGTATCATTAAAACCAGGTGTATCAATAACAATTAAATCACTTCTTTCTCCTTCTCCAAAATATTTAGCAACTTCTTTTGTTTCTGAATCTGGACTATTACCTACTTTAAAAACATTCTTCTGTAAAATGGAATTACTAAGTAAACTTTTACCAGTACCTGTTTCTCCAATTAAAAGTAATTTTGTTTGTTTTGGTTTTTGTAAACTCATTTCTGTTTTATTAGTTGTTTATTTTCTTTAAATACTTTCTGATAACTTATTCAATGATGTTTATTTATTTGTGATAAAAAATATTTATAAGTCAGTGTATTTTGCGATAAAATAATTTATTCTCGTTGTTAGTTAGTTTCCTTTGAAATACAAAACGTAATTGTATTGACGTTTGTTTATATTTATTTCCTCATATAAAAATTTATCGTAAATAAAAATTATTTTTCGATAAGAAATAACATCGAATATTGTTTACGATTATTAACAAATAACAATTATTATGTAATTTTATTATAAATACAATTGTAAAAATAATTTAGTGACATTAATTTTTATTTATTTCATTTTATTTTTGTTTGTTGATTAAAATAGCATTTTATTTCATCAAAAATACTTTTCATTCTCTTTGAATTTATCATTTTTTGTAATTTCCTATTACCCCCATTTCTTTATTCACAAATTATTTCAAATGACTTTAAATTAATTGTTATTTGATAATTGTTATGATAATTTAAATTGTTATAAACAGGTAAAATGAAATAAATATTTATTTCATTATTTCATTAAATATTGGAATTTCCTCTATTTTATAGTTTATTTAAACAATTGATAAATTGTAATAATGAAAATCAAACAATTAAACAATAAATGTTGTATTTATTTGTTGTTTAATTCTTCTTATGATTTGATTCATCTAATACAAACTCAAGTTATTGTAAATAAATAATTCAACACTACATCATTCTTATTTCATATTTAACAATTAATATTCTTTTAATCATTGGATTGTTTTATTCATATTGTTTTTGAATATCATTCATTCTTATTTCTTGTTTGTTTTAAGAATATTTTCAATTCATTCTTCTTAATTTATTTCTCATTTTATATTTTCTATCATATTCATGTTGTTATTCATATTTTACATTCATGATTTAAAATATTATTCATTTTCATTTTGTAATATATAGAAATGAGAAATTGAAATAATAGCGTATTTCATATATTTAAATATATTTTTATTAATATTGTTTATTTTAAATTGAAATACGTTGTTATTAAACACGAGTGTTACAAACAAATTTAAAATTATGTTGTTTTATTCTTCATTTCAACATTGAAGTAAAATAATTTTCATAAATAACAATAATACAATAACAATGAAGAATGAAATATTCATTTGAATATGAATAAATAATAGTTTCATAAATACACAATCTTCAAATAGCAACAAAAAAAGCAAACAATTGAAAAAGAAGAGAAAGAAAAATAAAAAAGAATAAAAATAAAGTAAAAAGTAGAAGAAGATGAAGAAAGAAATAAAAGAAGGTAGAAGAAGAAAGAATATAAAAAGTAATAAAAGAAAAGAGATGTTAAAAGAAGAAAAGAAGAAATAAAATTGTATTTTTATTGTAAAAATTAGAAATGTTCAATAAAAAGTGTCTAATTTAATGATGTAAAATGATTAACAATATTTTATTAATGAAAAAATATTTTTTATTATTTTTATGTTTATTATTTATATGTATAATTTCATTATAATTTTTATTATATAATAAATCATATGTGTTATGTTATTATTATAACATGTAATATGTAATAAAATATAAATGAAAATGATATGAATATATGATATAGAATATAAAAACAAAAGAATAATAAGAATAAATGATAAATAAAACGAGAAATGATAATAAATGATATAATAATAAAATCAAAGTATAAAAGATAAAATTAATATAAATATAAATCAAAAGAGAATAAATATAAATTGAAAATACATCTAAATGATAATAATATAAAAGATGAATAAGATGAATAAACAAATAATAAAATACATTTAAATAGAAAAGAATAACAATAAGAAAGTCTAAAGAATATAAACATAAAAAACATAAAATAAGAAGAATATAATAATATAGAGGTAATAAGAAGATGATATAAAAATAGAAATAAGCTACATAAATAACATAATAATAAAAGAATAAAAAGAATAAAAATAAATATGATTCATCAAATCATTTATTTCATTAATATTTCATACAAAATAAATATAAATGATTATAAAATATAAACATAAATATATACATATTCTGTATTTATCATACTTTTTATTTATTTTATGAGCAAAATATAATAAAGTTGAATATTCTAATGATTCAAATTTTTTTGCATCATTTTTCTTTTTTTGTAAATTATTTAGATGCATTTTTCTTTGCTCATTTTCGTGCAAAACATTAAACATGAAGAAAATAATGAGAAGTATTAACTAATCACATGAAAAACGTTATAAAACAGTAGATTTAAATATTAATTTTCAGTCAATTAATATATCTTTTAAATTTTCACCAAGTATAATCAAAAAAAAAAAATATATCAATAAACAATGATTTAGAATCTGAAGCAAGATTAAACAATGAAAATAGATAAAGTATTATCATTTCATATTTTCATCAATTAACACTTCATAAACAACAAAATGATTTAATTCACAAATATGAAATAGAATAAATAAAAAATCTAATTAATTAATACATACTTTTTAATAAAACAACATCAAATAAATAAACAAACCAACATAAAAATAAATGACTATATTCATTTCATTAATTAAATACAAAATAAGATCATAATAAAATACAAAAAATAATATAAAATAATATTAAGAAATAAAAAGAAAGAAGATATTAAATTAATGTAATGTGTCTTTTAGTTATATTAATTAAATTAATACTAAATACATCATACATTCTCTCTTGTTATTATTTTATTTTCTTTAAAGAGTGAGGTATTAAAAATTAATGAATCAATGATGACTTTATTAGTAAAGGGAGTATTTTATTATAAGACTCTCATAACAAAAATTTTAATCTTTTTTAATACAACATTTTAATAAAAATTTGAAATATATAACAAATAATAAAAAAAATAAACAAAAAACTGGAATGTATTAGTCATGATTGGAATTATTTTACTTCTTATTTCATTTGTTGCGGCTGTTCCTAATCCAGCAGCATTTAATTGTTTACGGGTTGGAATGAAATCAAATACTCTTCACACTAAACAAGGAAGTATGTCTGTTTGTGAAACAGATGATGGACAATTTGTTGATGCATGGAAGTTATTAAGAACAACACGATTTAAACAAGGAGGGATTAAATTAGAGTTTTTGAGTGTTGACAAAGAAGGAAACCTTGTTAAAGGAGAAGAAGTTACAATGGATAATCTTATTCATAAAAATAAGTGAATTAATTCTACTTATCATTTAATTTTATTAAGTTTTATATGCCGTAAAAATTATTGATAAGACAAACCTCATAAAGACTGAAAAATACCAAATGTCGTGTTGTTCAAATATCCTTGGGATGTTCTCTTTTGTGCTTTTTAATAATTTTGGTGAAATGCAACATATTGAAGAACAAGAAAGAGAAACAATTGGGTATGAAAATAACTATATCATTAAAGTTCCAGAAAATGAGAAAGAGTTTATTGAAGAGTATGACAATCTCATCAAAGAGATTGACACCCAAAGACAGAATAACGAAGAATGTCTTGCAAAAGAATGAAAATACTACGAAATACTTCAAAGAGACACTGAAATATATAAATTGGTTGTTAAAAAAAGCGAGAATCAAAACATCGAAACAGGAAAACTAAAGAACCAGATAATAGATAGAATGATCAATGTTAAAGAGAAAAAATTAAGAGAACTAGTCACAGATGAAAAGACACAAAGCAAAATGAAAGAGACATTATCAACCAATTTTGAAATAATGAAGAAAAACCGAGAAGGAATGAAAGTTGCTGGATTAAATGAAATTAGGATAATAATAAAATACCCATTCAAGACGAATATTTCATTAAAGTACTTGGTATCTTTACTATTTCACAAGTAAAACGCCTTGTGAAATCTATAACAGGAATTCCTTTGGAGCAACAAAGATTTCTCTATGTTAGAAAGCAACTTGAAGATCAAAACACATTATTAGATTGTGTAACAACAAATAAATCATTTATTCATTTAGCTTTGAGGATAAGAGGAGGTAAACCAGTGATTTTATTGTATGACAACGAAAAGAAGAGAAATGAAGCAATGAGTGTGAATATCAAATTTAATGAAGCAATGAACATCGAAGCAACATATCCAGAAATTAAAACAACAGAAGAAAGTGAGAAAATAAAAGAGTATGAATGGAAAGGAACATCTATTAGTGATGGAGAAAATAATTGTAAACTAACTGTTGATAGAAAGGAGGTTGAATATTTGTTTTGGGAAGATGTTTGTTTAAAAGAATCTAAGTTTGAAGAACAACAAATTAGAATTAATCAACAACACTTTGAGACGAATTAGATGAGTTGTTAAAACGTCTTGGATTGAATGAGCGAGAAATAAATGACTTTATTGTTTATGGATCTCAAAGTTAGACAAAAGAAAGAACCATTTTGTCACCATTTGTGATTCATGATTTGATAAAGTAATTGCACCATTAACAGTCAGTGGGTTTGAGCAAATTCATCGAGCTATGTTGAAATTTGAAGAAATTGAAAACTTATGTTGATTAAAAAGAGTGGAGAGTGTTGAAAAACGATAAAGACCAACTAGAAAGTATGTGATAGAATATGTAGTAATTTTAGCATGATTCTTAATTAACTCATTCTTCTTTCAAGACATTTTTGACACTACAATGAAAGTATTTCATGTTATAAACTTATCTATCTTATCATGAAGAAACATTGTAATTTAATTATAACAAATATGAAAACAATTAAAATATACTTTCTATCCATTTTCTTGATATTCACAACACTTTAATATACAACATATCTTTTATTTATATTTTTTTAAATATCCTGACTACCATTTATTTGTGTCTTAATGCTAAGTATATTTTTAAGACATTGTTGAATCATCGAATAATTCTAAACACATTACATACAACCTATTACTAATGAATTTTATTCTCATTCCACTTTGACTATCAACGACTAGTTATGAGAAACAAAATACTCTATCAAACCAATGTCATTGAATCTAGAAACTATTCCATTCAACAACACAAACAATATGGATTTTATGTTATATCAAATGAGAGATGGGAATAAATTTTCCATTATTATTAGAAATTGATTATTATGAAAAGAAAATAATAAGTCACAAACAAGATGAAAGGAAGATGAACTAAATGATGTTCATACAAGTATAACTCATAAACATAAGAAAATAAGAGATTCAACACTTTTATTCATAATTTGAGATAAATCAAAATAAATAAAACTCTGGAGTTAATGTGTTGTAGTATTTGTAGTATTTTCATATTAAAAATAAAGAGAATGTTTAGAAAAAAAAAAAATAGAATTAGCAATGGTTGTTATTTGGTAAGTAAACAATGCCATTAAAGAAGTCTTCTTGAGTTTTAGCACATACTGAACATTTGTTATCTTCAGTACATCCATAGCATTTTTCATCTCCACATTCAACACATTTTCCATCTTTCAAATAAGTCCTATCATCACAACTCATACATCTTTGTCCATCAGCTGATGCACGAGTACAATGAGCCATTCTAATAGGATGAACATCTTCTTTATTTTCATCAAGTGAGTCTAATTCACAGTATGTGGATTTATGTTCACATTCATTGCATTTTGAGTCACATTTACTACATTTGAAGTCTTCTGTTAAATAATATCCTTTACCACATTCAACACATTTCTTTCCATCAGTACTATGACGTTTACAATGTTCAACACCTTTCAAACATTTATCTTTGGAAAGATAATATCCTTCTTCACATGTTTTACATTGTTCATATGAATAAACAGCACAATGTTCAACATTTTCATAACAATAACTTCCAACCAAATGATATCCTTCTTTGCAGACACTACATTTGTTAATACCAGAACATCCAACACATCCAATTGGAATAGCAGGACAACTTGTACATTCCTTTTCATTCCAATAATATCCTTCTTGGCATTTATTACAAGTATATGGACTTTTGCATTGATCACATAATTCAACTTTACATGCTTTACATTTTCCTTCATCCAAATAATAACCATCTGCACAATAAGAACAATCCAAAGAATCTGTATAACTTGCACAATGTTCAATTGGTACAAAGTCAACACAAGCCTTTCCATCAAAGTGTTTTGTATCATAACAAATATCACATTTAGTATAATCTAAACTACATGAATAACATCCATCAATAGCACATTTCTCACATTGATTCTTCTTATTCAATCCATACCCATCATAACACTCACGACATCTTGTGGATGATCCATAAGAATATGCTTTACAATGGTCAAGTGATTGAACACACTCATCTCCATTAAATCCATATCCATCAAGACATTCAAAACATTGTGTCATAGAAGAACATTCATAGCAATGATCAACACATTCAAAACATTCTCCAGCTTTTGCATAATATCCATCAACACAAACTATACACTTACCTCCTTTGTATGAAGCACAAAGTGAGTTTGGTGGAATTTGACATTTTCCATCCTTCAAATAATATCCAGACATACATGCACTACATCCATCTTTAGCACTAATGGCACAATATGGAACAACTTCTTTGAAGTATTTGCATTTTCCATCAACAAGAATATAATTTTGTGCACAAAGATCACAGACATTTGGATTTGTCTTACAAGAGCTGCAATAAGCACTTGAACATTCAGGATTTTGAGCAACAATAAGAGGAATTAGAAGTGTAAAAATCATATTGATTTACAAGATTCAACCATTTAAAAGGTTCATTTTTTGTAAAAGATTATTCAATAATTGAATGAAATTTTCTCTTTTCTAATAAACTTTCAAAAATAAAACACCGAATAGCAATAATTCATTTGAATATTTATTTTCATTGGAATTTTAAAAGTTATTTTTATTCAATGCTATAAAATCACACACCATTTATTTCCTTTTTCTATTGAAACTAACTGAAATAATGGTATTATTGTACAATATCTATTAGGTTGTTATGCTAACTCATAACATCATTTAATAAAATTCTCATTCTCATTACTTTTTAGTTATTTCATAATATAACATACTAAGGTTGAGTCAAAATTCCTTTAGTGAGAGTTTTATTCAACTTATTTCTATAGATATACATAAATAGTGAATGTCTGTATTAGACCAATTAATTGTGTTATTTTCTATGTTTTTATTATCAGGTTCTTCATTATTGGTTAATTCTATAAAAATATATTCATTCATTATGAGTTGTTTCTTATTTTCAATTAACTATCATTAAAAGACTATTAATTCCTTGAATCATTTTAGTTCTATACCTTTCATTTTTTTTGTATTAAGAGTATGTATGTACGAAAATGAAACACAAGTTAAACAAATACTTTATTGTGTTTTCATGATTTTAATAAGAACCAAATTATAAAAAATAATCATTCACACATTACCTCAATTATACTAGTAATATCAATACATTGAATAATTTACATGATGTTATTTCTTTAAATGCTCTTCCATTTTTAGTTATTTATAGCTTCTAATAATAAGTATAAAATGTTTCAATATCATATTCAAATGAAACAATCAAGTAAATAAGTATTTATCATCCACAAATAAATGGCAAAAGTAAATAATAATAAAAATAATACTAAAACTTGTATATTGTTTCTCATTCATAGATGAACAAATTTCTTGTTTATTCAATTCTCTCTAAATCAATTGGCTCTTTTATTTTATTCTTTCTCAGTAGTTTTGACTAACAATAAAAGCTGAAGAATAGAACATATTATTTCAATATAGATACCATTAGAAAATAAATCAGAAGAATATAAAAAGTTAAAGAAATAATTATAAATAAACCATTCAATATTAAGTTCGATATTTCTAAATTCAAATAGAAGTGATGAATAATGTTACAACCAAATAATAAACAGAAAGAAAAAATGAGTAATATACCGAAATAATACAACATACACAGTTTGTATTAAATGAAATACAAATAAGAATAATAATGAATAATGATGAAATAAGATAAAAAGAGAAATAAAAAAAGAAATATAATTAATATATCAAAGAAAGAATAAAACAATTGTATAATAAACAAATAAAAGCTACATATATAAACAGGATGAAACTTATACAATTCAATTCCTTTAAATTAAATTTTTTTATGTTCAATATTTTATCTTATTCGCAAACAAATCATTTCAATAAAAGTTATTAAATAATAAACCATAGAATAAAAAAAAGAAGAAATAAAAACAAATGTCTTATTAGTTGTTCAATAATCAAGAATAATAATTAATTATCCAATTCAATACTAACAAGAATCTATACAAAAAATGACACTTTTCTTTTGTACTCATTTTAAAGAAAGAAACAAAATAAAAAAAAAAGAATAAATTTAATAAGTAATGGATAAAGAAAACACACCATCTAATGTTATTTCACTTGTTTACTTAATAAAGATTGAATGATTAACTTTTGTTGTTGTAAAATAGATATAATAGAAAGATAGTATTGTTGTTCAAGTTGAATTGATACTTCTGTAAATTCAATTTTAGTTGATGTCATATTAATGAAATTTTCATATTTTTCTTTGATTTTATTTATTTCTTTAGCTTCTTTTGTAGTTAAATTATCTTTTAAATTAACCAATATCTTTTTTACTTTTTCTTGATGTGCTTTAATGATTTGATTTTGTTGGTTTATTTCTTCTTGTTTTCTTCGAATAGAAATTACGTCAGATATTAATTTGTTGATTTCTTCTAAACAAATACTAAGATGGTGTTGTGATATGGTTTGGTCTTTACTCAGCAAATAAACTCTATTAATGAATTAATATATTTTTATTAACTAAGTCATAGTACATAATACAAACTTAACGAGTGCGTTTTGGTATTCTTTTTGGATTTCAATGAATTGCCGTTTTACTTCATCCATTGTGTTTTTTTTTTTGTTATATTTTTTAAGATTTTCAAGTAACAAATTAAAGAAATTAATAGTAAAAATAACTATAAATCTATACTATAAATGACAAAAGAGATTCAATCTATTTTTATTCTTCTTTAGACTTTTTTAAACACACCAACTTGATTTAATGATGTTAATACAACTCCAATAATGGATAATATAACTCCTAATATCATTATACTAAGTCCTAACCATTTTAGAATTCCTTGATGAGTTTTATATACAAAAAGACTTGGAAAGATATACACTACTAACACACCAAATATTGCTCCATTATACGCTAATACAACTTCAATTTGACTTACTGCCAAAGCAATAAGAACAATTAAACTAACCAATGTGAGTGTTTCAAAAATCCTTCTTTTATCAGAGTCTTTCCACATACCAAAAAAGAGTTGGTCAAACAAGTCTCTTTCAGCGTGATGAACTAGTGGGAATGAAGCTGCCATAACAAGACAGAATGAAGCACATGCAACTAAAATTGGAATATCATCATAAGGATAATTCACTAAGATATTTCCACTACATTCACTTCCTCTACTTAAATACCCAAACGTTCCAACTAATGAATAGGTTCCAAGTGCTATTAATGTAGATACAACTTGAACAAAACTCATTTTAAAAGTACTTCTTTGAGAAAGTTCTGTATAAAATCTTAAAACATTGTAATGACCACAAAAAGCAACAGTCATAATTGGAAATCCTCTAAACATTGACCATTGAAAATTAGCAAATTTTGCAGAAATATGAAGTTGTTTATATCTAGTGAAATATTCAACTATAATAGTAATCATAGTATAAAATATACAAATAATAGAAATAATTGAAGTAAATTTTAATGCACTTAAATTTTTAAAAAATGTTAATGGAAGAATTAATAAAGACATTAAAGTAATCATTAAACTTCTATCACTATACCATTCATCATCATAATCTCCAAATAATCTTGGAACAAATCCTCCAAGAAAAATTATATATCCAATACATGTTCCTGTAGTATAACAAAATGCTGATAATTGTACTATAATTGATAAATATTTCCCACCAACACAATATGAAATTTCTTTATATGTAAATTTATTTGTTTTATTTGATGCTAACGTTAGAAATATCATTGTTATTGCTGATAATATCCATCCTATTCCTAACATTATTAATCCTATTCCCCATCCTGAATAAAGAAATGCAAATGGAATAGCTAATGTTCCACTTCCAATTATTGTATTTGATAAATTAAAAATAGTTGATAACACTGACGCATGTCCTTTCTCTTTCATTCTTTCTTCTTCAATCTCATTTTAAGTTCTTTTTCTTTTTTTTAAGTTCTTTTCTTCCTTTTTTATTTGTTTTATATCTCATATTTTAGATTATATAACAAAAATAAATAAAACAAAAAAAAAAGAGAAACAAATTAAAGAATTTAAATATAGAAAAAAGAAAAGAGTTGATTAGAGAAGAAGAAAAGAAAAAAGGAAAAGTGATAAAAAAAAAAGATAAAGAAAGGATTAAGAGATTTTTGTAATATCTTAAAAATGTTAGTATGAGTAAAGAAGGAGTAGTATTTTATTACCAATCACATGCTCACATGATGTTACCTGTTTGGTGTGCATTACATGGACAAACAGTAGAATTATTTCATGAACAAAGAGTTTGCTTTTCATTAAAAGGAGCAAAAATAATTATGGTTTCAAGTGAAGAATATAATTTACCACCAGACTTATTACAAACATATAAATATTCAATAATGATTAAACCAGTAAGTGATGAAGAAAAAGTATTTTTCTTTTGTGATGAATTAATGTTTAAAAGATGGACAAAGTATATTAATGATAGTGTTGAAGGTAAAGATCTTGAAGGATCAAGTTTTACATTGTCACAAAGAGATAGTAAAACATTTCAAAAAATGAGTAAAATACAAGTATTATTTGCTGGTGCAGAACATTTATTACATGATGAAATTGGAACTATTTTTAATGAAATTTCATTAAATACAACAAAAGAAGGGAATGTTTTAATGAAACAAAAAGTAGGATTAAAAAAAAAATATTTACCAGTTTATATTGTTGTTTCACCACCATTATTACTTATTTTTCAATCACAAAATGATTATAAAAACATAAAACCTTTCGCTATTTTAAATTTATTAAATATTACTGTTAAATTATCTGATCATCATGAAAATACTATCATTCTTCAAGGAAAAAAAAATTTGTTTTTTAAAACAGGATTTGATAATAAAAAATTATATTATTATAAGGATCTTTGTTGCTTTTGTATTGAAAAAGATCAATTATCTTCTTGGATGACAATTATTAAAGCAACAGTTGATTTGGTTTGGAGAGTTTGGGGTGCAATGATGTCTGCTCAACCATTCGATCCTTCACTCTTTGGAAGTGTTAATGAGTCTAGTGTGGATTCGGAAGAAGATCGTAAAGACCAACAAAACCAAACAATTCCAATTATTGATTCTATTGGATCATCAAGGATAAAGAAAACTCAAAAAGAACAAAGAGGTTTAAATAAAATTAATTCATTTGATGAAGTCGTTGAAAAAAAAAGGAAAGAAGACTTAGAAAAATTAAAGAAAGCAAAAGAAGAACTTTCTAAGTTAGAAGAAGAAAAAATTGCAGCAGAAAAAGAAAAAGAAGAGGCAAATGAAAAAGTTCAAAAATTAGAAGAAGAAATGAGAGAAAAGAAGATTGAGATTGAAAAATTAAAAGTAGAGAGGGAAGAATCTTTTAGATTATTGAAAGGACAAAAAGAACAAAGTTTATGTGAAATTCAACGAGTAGAACAAGAAAAGGAAAAGAGGATTAAAGAAGAAGTTGAAAAGGCACACCAATTAAGAGAAAAAGAATTTGAGGAATTGTTGAAACGAATTAAAGAACTTGAAGCAATCAATTTAGAAAATGAATATAATAAAGATGAACTTAAAAAGAAATGTCTTGAAATATCAAATATTCAAGAAGAAAAAGAAGAATTAATTTTAATTGTCCAAGAGATAAAAGAAGAAAATGAAAAAAGAATAAAAGAAATTGAGAATTTACAAGAAAAGAAAGAAGAAAATGCTCGTATTTTTGAGGAAATGAAAAAAGAAATTGAAGAAAGAGAAAAAGAGTTAATAATTGAAAGAAAACAAGAAATAGAATTACAAAATGAAGTTCAAAGAATAACCAATAAAAGTAATAATAATGTAGAAAAATTAACTAATCAAATTGAAGTATTACAAAAAGAAATAAACAATCAAAGAAGTCTTTTACAAGAAATTGAAGAAAAAAATAAATTATTTAACAATGAAATTAAAGAAGCAAAAATCAAAGAAGAACAAACAAAAGAATTTTTTACAGAAGAAATGAATCAAATAACAAAAAAAGGAGAAGAAGAAAGAAATAGAATAATGAAAGAAAATGTTATAATGAAAGAAGAAATAAAAAAACTTAACAAAGAAAAAGAAGAAATGAATGAAAAATATAATAAAAAAGAAATAGAAAATGAAGATGATAAAGAAAAATTAAAAAATGAAATACAAAAACGAGAAGAAATTGAAAATAATAAAATTTCTTTACAAAATCAAATTTTTCAATTAAAAAAAATAATTGAAGAATTAGAAGAAGGTAATAAATATAATACAAATAAAATTAATATATTAACAGAAGAATGTTCAAAGAAAGATATTGAAATTGAAAAGATTAAAAAAGAATTTGAACAAGAAATAAAAAATGAAAGAGAAGAACAAATTAAAGAAAAAGAAGATGAAATTATCAAAATAAAAGAAGAAATGAAAATGGCAGAAGAAAATTATAAAAATAATATTTCAACAATTAGAACAAAAAAGGATTTAGAAATACATCAATTAAAAGAAGAAGAACAAAATAAAGAAAAAGAAATTGATATATTAACAAATCAAAAAGAAATTATTTCAAAAGAATTAATTACTAAAAAAGAAGAAAATGAAATATTAAAAGAAAAAATAAATGAAACACTAAAAGAACTTAAAGAAAAAGAAGAAAGTAATAATCAATATCAACAAATAAATGAAGAAATGAAAGAAAAATTAAAAGAAAAAGAAAATGAAATTAAAATAAAAGAAGAAAAAATCACAAATAAAGAAAAAGAAATGGAAGAATTAAAAAATAATTTTAACAAAGTAGAAAATGAAAATGAAAAAAGATTTAAAGAAAAAATTAATGAATTAAATAAAGAAATTGAAGAACAAAAGAAAAGTATTAAAAACATTAAAGAAGAAGAATATTTATTTGCTGATATAATTTTAGATAATGAAGAAATTAAAGAATTAAAAGAAGAAATGATTCATTCAAAATTAAATAGAAAAATGATAGAATTAATAAAAAAGAAAGAAATGGAACAATTGATTAATGATAAAAAAGATTTGGAAATTCAATTATCAAAACATCAAATAGAAAATCAAAAAATACAAAACCAAAATGATGAACTTAAAAAAATAAATCAAACAAAGGAAAATGAAAAAGTATTATTAAATGAAATAAATGAAAAACTTCAAAATAAAATTAATGAATTAAAAGAAAAAGACAAAATTCAAGAAGATGAAAATAACAAACTTCAAAGTGAAATTACAAATTATTCAAAAACAATAACATCATTAACAGAAAAAATAGAATTATGTAAAACAGAAAATACAAAAATAGAAAATAAAATTCAACAAAAAGAAAATGAAATAGAAGAAATAAAAAAAGAAAAGGAAATTGCATTAGAAGAATTAAATCATGAAATTAAAAAGAAAATCAAAGATTTTGAAAACCAAATTAAAGAACAGGAAATTATTCAAAATAATCAAATAATAACAATTAAAGAAAAAGATCAAAATATTTATGAATTAAAACAACATATTGAAAAAATGAAAAAAATAATTGAAGAAACACCATTAAAAGAATATGAAGAAGAAAATAACAAAATTCTTAAATTAAAAGAAGAAAATGAATTATTAGAAAATAAAAATAAAGAAAATATACAAAAAATTGAAGTATTAAAGAAAAAAGAAGAAGAATTAAATAATAAAATGCAATTAATTGAACAAGAAAAAATAAATTTAAATAAAGAAATAA